TTGATAAGAGTTATTTAGTTAGTTAGTTTTTTTTTCTTTTTTGCAGTTGTAGTTTTAATAGATCTTTTCTCCAAAATAGAACAAAAGCGAGGGCTTTAACATTAGCTGGTAAATTAGAGACCTGCTTTTCATTAGGCAGGTGGTCTACAGAATTTTTTCTTGTTACTGCAGCTTAAAGTCTCTTTGCGTCCAACTTCAATAAAAATTGAACGTTTAGGAAGCTAAATATTTCCTTTTATTTACATGTGCATCTCTTGAGACAATTTCTTCTATTTGCTGATCAGTTTAAATTTATTGAACAGTTTAAATTCACCGAATAGTTCAAAATTGTTTTAGGCTCCGTGAACCCTTCTGCGACGGTAATTTGCGTTTAATTGATAAACTATAATTTCAATGAACCACGCTGACTTCAAACTTGTTATATTGAAACAATGAAGGAAATCCATACTGTTGTTTGAAAAGATGGGCTTTTAAGTCGGCAGATTTTACGACTAGTGTTTCGTCAAATGTCAAAACATTTTCCTGTATAAATTAATAAATAGCCGTTTTCTGGAGCTACTGGCATCCAATATGAAATCTGTTTTATTGTCAAACGGACCGTGCACTTCAAAAAAGTCTTGCTGAGTGGAAAAACTTGCAAACTGTACGTGTAACTGGAGGAATACCTCACATATAGTTTACAGATAATATTGGTATTTTGTGGAGATAACACTATATAGCATAAAATGAAAGAGATTCGTGATCTTTTTCCTCTAAATTTAGATGGTATTTTGAATTACTACCCATGTTTTTTGTTCACGGTGTTCAGCGGAAGATCTTGAATTTGTTAGCATCTTAAAAATTATCTGTAATAGTTTCAAAATTATTTTGCGAGGCAAAAGTGAGAGGGTTTTATCCTGGATTCGACACTTAAGGATTTTTTTTTGGGAGCTTTGTTCAACAACATCCACAAAAATGAGAACGCTTCATGCATTCCACCCCTGAAACCTTTAGATGCCACAACCTTTCGTCTGCTTAATGGATACAAGCTTTGACAAATACATGTTTAAATACCTTAGAACTTATCTGATTCCCACACTGTCCAACTTGAATGTGCACTATGTCTCTCATGATAGGTGCTTACTATTGCTGGATTGATCACCTTGCTTCTGTCAATTGTAAAACAAGGGTTTTAACTGCAAATATTGTCCCACACGGAAGTAAATTTAGTTTGAAACAGCTCGTTGGCGTTGGTTCCTTCCGAGAGACATGTCTCATTAAATATTATTACTTAAGTTAGAGATATTTTCACCTTTTTACTGCCACTTGACTCTGATTTTATATGGACAACTGAACACCTACATATCTCTATCTCAACCAATAGATAAACGACTCAGTAGTAAGGTTACGTTGCATTTACACATTTAAACGGGATTTATTGGTCTCTAACTTGAATTCAAAAGGAGCTGTAACCTGGACTGGTAAAATTTTCATATCAAAAACTCTAAAGTTAGGAACATTTTCAGATTCTGTAAAGAGGAAAAGGTCTTACCTTGCAAACTTGTTCTTGAATGATGAACGCCACGGACCATGGTAAAGGCAATTAAGTATATTCTACAGGATCAGTTAACAGTAAGAGAAACTGAAACGGCCATTAGGACATATTTGAAATGAGCTACATTCTATCGATTGTTCGTTTGGATGAATAATTTATGACGGCCATGATTGCTCTCTATTTGGGGGTGGTCCATTCATGGTGTCTTTCCAAGCGAAAGTAACAAATTGTCAGGCTAAAGGCTTCTTCAGGAGCTGTCGTCTTCCTATTGGTCAAAAGTCAGATAACATGGGTCTAACAAAGGACTTTGTGGCCGCTCACACAAGTCGGTTTAAAATGAAACATTCAAAGACTCTTCACCCGCAGAGAAAAATCGTGAATGATTTGAGTCTATTCATAGCTACTAGGTTAATAAACTGTGTAGGTATAATTTCCACGGACATCAGCCTCACGCAATGGAGATACTGAGTCCATGGTCAATCCAAAACAATTGGACAGTGTTTAATTCAACGAGTGCTTTCTTTATTGTTGTTTCCGGTGTCAAATTCAGTTTGTTTCTGCCTTTGGGAATTGCAACGTTATCCAAATTCGGAGACTACTGTTTTTTTTTTCTTATTGCGGACTGGTCAAACAGGGAGTGGGACTGGGCATACGCTCAATCCTTGTGGTCTTCGATTGCAAATTAATGGATGTTAATTGTCTTGGTCCGACGAAAGCTCTACGATCAGATTAGCCGTCTCCGTACACCTGGTCAAGGTGTACGGAGATGGTCACACCCTTGTTATTTTGTAACTTTAACAGAAAATTTAAGTTTTGATGTCTTACACTGTTACTATAGCACTTAACTTTGACCATCGAGAAAACGTAAATGCGGCCGATAGAGTAAAACGGAGAGCAGGTGGTGTCTTAAACACAAACTTCTTAAGTTTAAAAGTTATTCTTGCGCTATATTACAGAGAGTAACTTATTTAATCGATGCTTAGCCCGTTTCATTTCGCTGCGCTTGCATGTGTGTTAATCGATCCAAACTTCAAAGCACAGGGATTACGATGAGTAGAACGGATGCTGGAATCAATCAGCATCGCGCTGCACGTAACTGTGACAGAAACTGAGTTGAAACGGAAATAAAATATAGAGTCTGACATGATTCATTGGCGGCATCTCGTGAAACAGGCTCATTTAACGGTTCAATGCAAAGACATCCAGGGAGAGATTTAAAACAGGATCCAAAACAACTCGGCAGTGTGCTTAGAGCAGGTGGTAGTGTCAATAGTTTCTGGTGAAAAAAAAAACCAAGGCCCTGGGAACCACTGTAAGTTTTTGGTGGGCCGAAATCAGTCCAGTATTAAGTATGTTGATGTCGAAAAAAGAAAACACGGGTATTTACTTTTCTCTTAAGATTGACTGCCTGCTTAGGTCAAAGGTGTTCTTTACGTTCAAACCACATCTGTGTTCCTCTTTCTGCATTAAAAACCCTATGTTACATTGCCAGGTCTGATTATAATCAAACGGTGATATCATAAAATCAGATGTTTTGTCAGCTCATTAAGTTATTTTTCCCTAGAAGAGCAGTAATAATAACTTTCTTTATAAAGGAGGTCGCCTTTCCCATAGTTAGTTTTACAGGCTAGTCATATTTTGAGCAGTTCTCAAGTAAAGAAGCTTGACAAATTGATATTTCATATGTGAAATACATTTCCTACAATATGATCCGAGATTATCTTGGATAACATGTCTTGTTCTTGAATGTGTTTGTTCTTGAACAGCGGAAAAGAAAATAGAAGTCAATACAGAGATCTGACACTAAGAAACTGTTCTAGTCGCACATTGGCTCTAAGATCAAATTCAAAATATCAAGATGACTGTAGAAACTTTGAAACTGTGACAAATTTTTGTTGTTTCTCTTTGACATTGATTCGCTAGTGTTCTCGTAGCTTTTAAGCGCGTGATTGTATGTGAAAAAGTTACCCAGTCTTTACTTTGTAAGAAACTGAGAACACTCAAAGTAGTGTTACATTATAATTTGCAGTAGGTTCTTGAGACGCAGCACTAAATTTAAATGATAGATTGCACGTCCTTGATTGCTAAAAAACCCGTTTTGGTTTTTCTTTTGATTGTGATAATTCTTTTCACTTCTGTTTTACAGAATGCAGCTGCTATCGAAAATTTTTTTTTCAGAAAAGTTAACATTGCTTGTTAACTTTAATCCGCTGACAAATACGAACAAAGAAATGGATAAAAAGACGGTAATTTTCCACTAAGTGACCAAAAATATTATAACGTGACATTCCTCACAACGTAGCTACCTTACATTTATTTTCGAGAGTGCTTTTAAAGCTACGTGATGCAAACAATAATTGTAATAGGACAGATGTTGGTTAGATGTACCTTTAGCTGTCACTTTGTTATCGACTTGTCCAAATGTTTTGAAAATGATTGAGTCATCCAGCCACAAATGTTTTCTTTGAAAATTAGCATGCAATTGTATGGCTTTGAGAAAAACCTTGAGCTGTGCTGAAGTAATTTCATCATGGATGTACAAATTCTACTAAACCTTACCAGCTAGCGTTTCAAACTTATCCTAAAAAATGAATGAGAAATAAGTTAAAGCTTTCATTGCCAAAATCTAAACTGAAACTAAAAAAGAGTCTATCACGTATATTTGACTACTGCACACTGTTGACTTGAGCTTATTATGCAAACAGTATGCTTTTATTTTGAATGAGGCCCCCATCGTTTCCGGGGATTGCTCTAAGGATGACGTTGAAATCCTTAAGATATAAGGGCTCTCAATCCTTCATTTTCTCCAAGGGTTCCTTTTTGAGAAGGAAACGCTATTAATTTATTGAAGTGGACAGCTACACATCGTAAGAAAAATCTTTTATTCTCACGAAAAAACATTGTTTACCTTCAAAAAGCTAGTGGTTTGATATAAGGGAAACGCGTTACGTGCATGACAACATTAAGGCCACACGTTTTTTGGTTAAGCAATGATAGGTTGTATAATTCGACTTTTTTTAAGAAAAACATTTTTTTCTATTAATTTTTGATTGGTTTGTAAATAAATTTTAATACTTTGATGGCCTATTTTTCTGGTTTCACTGGCAAAATAACAGAATTAAAATCTGTGAAGCAGCTCCTTGGTCAATATAATTTTTCGGTTTTTGATTGGTTTCATGGATTTTAATTTGCAAATCAGTTAGTCACCGGATATTTAGTAGATTTGATTTATTACTTTGGATCCTACAGGAAAGATGCTATTTGTAAGAAGAATCTTACTTTATCAAGTTCAACGAAATACAATACGAAAATTGTTGTAAGTACATCAAATTTCTTCCGACATGATCATTTAATATGAGGAGCTGATATTTCTATTGTTAACCGCTCACGTCTGAAACATCATTGCGTGGGTCCAACGTCAATTCAGGTTCTCAGTATGCGGCCGGAACATGACAGCGTTTGGTAGCACGTTCTTTAAATCAAGACCTACATTTTCTTCACATAACCTGATGAATGAAGGTTTTGTACTGGGTTAACCTCCCGAGCAACAATCTTACGATAATTCAAATGTTAGTTCTAGAATATTTTCTGAAAATAGACAAACTTCCTTTCCTTAGTTACGACCTCGCATACCTTCTTTTATTTTTTTATATTAATAACAGTAGAAGTTTATTTCTAAAGAACTAGATGAGTAGGATCCGTGTTACTTAAATGTTAATTATTGTGCTTTTCTTTCCTTGCAGAAAGCGGTGCACATGGTTTTCGGTGGAGATTTAAGTCAAAGGTTCTTTTTTGCGGCCGTTGCAATCATCTCTTTCACTGGAAATGTCTTCTTTATTGTGATTATTATACGCAATAGGAAACTACTGAGAAAAGCTTATCACAAAATAATACTGAGCTTGGCCATCACCGATATGATGATAGGTTAGTCTATGTTGCAATTTTGACCATTGAGGTTACTGTCTTACAAAACTTATGAAATTTACCATGAACTATCCCAAAAATAAGCATTTGAAATTATTGAGGTGATGATAATTTTTCTCTTCTTTCTAGGTCTTTGTCTTGTCTTAACACCAGTGTATATTATTGGTCAAAAACCAGCTCTAACAAGCAAGAATGTTGGCTCTGCGATGTTTTGCTACGTCATAGGAAATCAATATCTTGTATTTACGCTGGGAATCGTTTCCTTGTATACCGTTACGTTACTTGCAGTGGAGCGCTGGTGTGCTGTATTTCGTCCCTTTGAACATCGAACAACTTTTAGAATTCACAAAGTGCGACAGTATCTGATCATTATTTGGATTGCTTCCTTTGCTACAAATAGCACTCACATCTTAGAGACCAAGTATTTTCTTAACAATGTCAACACAACTGAACGTTGTGTGTTCCAAGGGATAGCCAGCAGAGAGGCGAGAGTTGTCATAGGAGTTGTAGAGATTTTCTTAAAATTTCTGATACCATTTTTAATTCTCGTGGTGTCTTTCACTCACCTTTATCGTTTCATGAAGGATTCACTTGTTGTTGCAACGACTCATCCAAGCAATTACATTGCCCTTACACGTGTCACACATATGGCTGCCGCAACATCGTTGGTGATGGTGTTGTGTTGGTTTCCCAACCAACTTGTTTATTTACTATTCAAGCTCGATGTTGTGCAGCTGAATACCCCATTTCATAAAGCAACAGTTATTGTTTGCATGTTCAACTCTTGTTTGAACCCTTGTATATTTCTGTTAAGTAACAAACTATACAGAAAAAAGGCAAAAGAACTACTCCCCAAGTGCAGAGGATCAGTAAAGGACTTCGACTTAACTTCGACAGAATCAAAGAAGGTGGTTCAGTCTGTTGTACCCGTAAAGTTTCTAGAGGGAAATATCCTCTAAGAGGAGAAAATGGAGATATTTGATCCTTTTTAATTGTATAGTAATGACCTGGGTTAAAAAAAAAGTCGACCTTTCCTTTTTACTCATTTATACTATAGTGCAAATATCTGCAGACTGATAAGACGCCTTACGTCTCGGTGTTGAAGCATCTGTATAGAGGGGCTATAAATCAAGAGTCAATCATGTGTAGTGTTGTTTACCAGAGTCTCGGTATGAACTATTATACACTGATAGCGGATGCGTATCCTCCATTTACGGATTGTGATAGATACTATCAAACTAAATGTAAGCATGTTATAAGGTTTAACTGGCAGTATATTATATAAAATTTCAGCCAATTTGCTCTAAAACAATGTCACTAAATAGTCTTATTGTAGGCAAGTAGACTGCCATTTTTGTATTTAGCTGTCGTTGGAGATTTACCCTTTACGAAAAATACGAACAGTAGCTTGTTAGATCATAAGAACCTAAATCTGTATATTTGTTACTGTTCATACGAAATCACAAACATTTTTCTCAGGGACAACAGTTGATAATAAAAAATATTTATGTGTGTTAAACTAGCAAATTATTGTACCTGAATAATTACATCAATAAAACGAAGCTTCTCATTATTATGTTTACTTCATATCTTTAAGAATGGCTAGTATACCTAATTGGTTTCTCATACAAGCAAACCCATTACCCCAAGAAAGGCGAAGAATTGAAATGTGAAACTCAGACTTATTCGTGAAGGGTGCCACCCGGGTTAAGGGCCTTATTTATTAAAGGGTTGGTATTGTTTGCAAGGAGCCTGGAGCTCTACCTGGGTAACATGTTATTTCACATACAGAATAGTTAATTTTGGTAAAGTGGTTAAGTTGCATGCCTATACAGGGCAATACAAATTTATGCCTAACGGTTATGATTGTTGGTGATGTTGGAACGTGCTTCAGTCATAGCTACGATTTATATTTCATTCGAAGAAATCTTTTGTGTACTGTAGAGGTCAATGATATTAGAAATCGACAGTCGAGTGACAGCAGAGACTCTCATTTTCGATCCAATTATCCCCTGAAGATCTGAGAAGAAAATTAATCAGTTGATATCTGGTAATTTATCCAAAAAAATAAAAAATCAGAGTTTGATTTTGTATCGGGACAAATAATCGAATTTTAATTATGTTGTTGTTCTCTTTGTAGTCTCTGATAATATCCCCTTTGGCTGGAGATAAAAGACGTGCTTTGGCGATCCGTGGAAAAGGCTGAAACCGGCTGAAAAGGTAAGACGAGAATCCTGCCTCACGTTTAATGGAGTTGACGTCTCAGATTTTGTAGTCGATGTCAGTCAAAATGAGTTAAAATTATTGGTTTTTGAAGTCAGTACTTCACATTAAAAAATCCTTGATGTCGACTTCTTAGGTAGAGAAAACTGATGCGCCAACCAGTAAGGATGGGCATCACAATTATCATGGTTGTGAATTTTTTTTTTTCTCTAAACACACAGAGGGAGGAGAAACGCACTTTGTGTGATTTCTATCTTTCTTATTATGATTCGATTGGTAAGGCTGCAAGACTCGCGACCAAGATGTTTCGAAGCTGTTTTCTAGAATATTATTAAAAATATATAAATAAAGAGAAAACGAGGGGTTTTTTTTGTTACTCGCTTTGATGGCAGTGCTCCGATATGTATGTCATTTCTTTCCGGCATTTACAGACCTCCTTCAACTAATTTATCAGAGGATGAGGCCATCGAGAATATGTTAGAATTAGTTTATCTATTAAATTTAGAAACCATCATTACTGGCGATATCAACATTAATTTTATATATTCTTACTTGTTTTAGCTAATTTTCTATTTATATTTCATTCTATTAATGATTCTATTGTATTTATATATTTATTGTAATTAGGAGGACCACAAGTTTATTAGTGTTTGTGCACTATCACGTGCTATCCTCAATAAATAAAGTCTTTCTTCTTCTTCTTCTTCTTTCATCAAATTAACTAATAAAAAAAAACTCAAAGCTTCGAAGAGAAAGAATTGCCAACTTTTCAGAAAAACATCATAAATTTTGCAGGCAGAGATAGGTTCCGGATAATTGCCTTTAATAGGACTGACATGGTAAACCCTAAGCAAATTGGCTGGCGACATCAATTATCATTACACGTCATTCGGAAACATAACACCGGACGATACACCCTGACTGCTGCTATTGCCGAAGTATAACATTTGCATTGGAGCAAGCCAAGTCTAAGGAAATATAATTCACTAGCCATAAAGGCAACATATATTGCGAATTTATCCGTACACTAGTCTAATTGGCGAAAATGAAGGCAGGCATAAGAGTTTTGTTTGGTATCATAGGATCTCTCGCCATCATTAACAACAGCCTTCTGCTGGTGGTAATTTTTCGAAACAGAGCCCTGCTGAAGACTCCATACAACAGGCTAGTTTTAAGCTTGGCCATTACTGACTTAATAACAGGTAAATCACCATTCTCTTTAAATGAAAAACGAAAGAATATTCGCTTGATAAAAAATTATTGTTTCCGAATGACTTACTGACGATAATCAAGAAGTGCTAAACGAAAAATCCTTTTTTTAATTTGAAATCGTCGCGTCGAATAACACGCACTTTTTACATTTTACTTCTCCACTAGACACTAGTGTGCCTTTCATATCTTAGCCCCTAGAGAATGATAGCTTTCTCTTTTTCATATGTTTGGTCGCACGGAGCCCTTCATTGTAATTAATTAAATAGTGTTCTATCTTAACGCATGAATCGATGGCTTCCGAATGGTAACCATGTCAAAGGTGGCATTTGCGTATTTGGTGCCAGATGTGTAACTTTTCTCAGTTTTAATTCTAAAACAATTTTAGCCTGTAATTCTAGAGAATAGAATTATGATTTTCAGGTCATAATAAGTTGGTGAAATCTTTCTACTGATTGACAGATGTCAATCTCTGCTAAAATTGCTTTTAATTTTAGAATTGCTTATTGGAAGTTGTTTGTTTTTTAAGTCACCTCTACAAGAACTTCCCTCAGAAACTGCAATTTAAAACGAAAAGTTTTTTTTTCTGTTGAGGGGAAAGTTACAATAGAAAAAAGCTCAGTGAGTTTTCATTGCCGTGAATACGATAGGCATCATACACCAGCAGCTCAGTGCAGTGTATCATTGAGTTCCCCTACGCATACTCTATGCGAAGACATGTTTAGCCTTAATCTAAACATTTCAAGCTAAGTAAACTTCCATTCAAAGCAGGGTTTTTACTTATGATAATCACACATCTGTCTAATTTTGACGGTTGGGCTCTAATACTCTTCCCAATATTCAATGATTTTCTTTCAACATCAAGTCACCTGCCTTTTTGTCAACAACCACAACTGTAAATTTCTTTCATATATATGGTAATTAAGGGACAGAAATGTAAATCTTGGAATAGAGCATCTTTGTAAATAGAGATATGACGTATATGTCTATTTCTATTTTAAAGGAATTGGTATTTTTGTTACACCTTCGTACATTATTGGGCCCGATTCGATCACAGTTTCATCAGGAGGTTTTGGCCAGTTTTTCTGCAGAGTGATATATTCTCAGTACCTCGTGTTTACCCTGGGCATAGTATCAGTCTATACAGTTGCATGTATGGCTATGGACCGATGGCTTGCTGTAGTTCGCCCAACCAAGTACAAAACAATTTTAACGAAGTCGCGAGTAAACATTTGTGTGTTATGCGTATGGATGCTCTCTGTGCTTTTGAACGCTCCGCACTTGATGGAAATTACAGCTACAAGCGGTTCAGACAGGAAAGAGCAGTGTTTATGGATTGTTCTTACCGGAGGTACTACTAGAAGAGTTGTGGCTTTTTTAGAATTTGTGGGAAAGTTTTTCCTTCCCCTTCTTGTCGCAGCCGTTACTTTAGTAAGTATCTACAACCATGTCAAGTCGTCACCGGCTCTGTTTCAAACAAATAGGGGCAAGGCTGGTTTAAGGTTACTACGGATGTGTTTGTTAACAGCGGTCATTCTTGGAGTGAGTTGGTTTCCCAACCAGTTGTATTATCTGTTGTTCAAATATGACATAACTCGGATGGACACGCCCTTGCACCATTTTACTGTCTTTATGTGTATGTTCAACTCGTGTGTCAACCCTCTGATCTATTGCCTTAGCAACAAGATGTACCGTAGATACTTTACGCTTCTTTTGTGTCCGTGGCACAGGGCAAGGGTCACGGAGATGGAAATGACTGCGTGTGATTCTGTCAGCAGAGCTAATGAAATAAGACCAACCCAAACAATTGGACCGAGTGCAGCAAGCGTAACAAACATGGCAATTGCTTAATGATATTCCGAAACGCATCATAAGCAGCTGTTGCAGAAATAATTGATGAAACAAACCAGCTTTTTATCTGTCTTCTTTGCCATGTATATAACTTTCTGGCTTATCCTTGAGTAAGTTAACAAGGAAAGTTGGTGTATCAGTCATAAAAGATAAACGCCATATTATATTTTGAAAGTGAGCTGGTTCAAAGTCCCTGCAGGGGCTATTATCTTCTCTTCTTGTGCGAGACACTCTGCTCTGACAGTGCTATATATGAGAGAGGGGATTTCTTAGAGACACATTTCCCTATCTACTGATAAAATAATTTTGCGCAGTCTTTGAATGATGCCATTTCCAATAACTTTTCCATTTCTTCTAATTTTTATAACAGGGTGTAACGGTATTATTCGGTTTGTCGGCGTGGTTTTTCTATGTTACAGGTGGTTTCAGATGGTGGATTATTCTGAAATATTACTTTGATAAAACGAAAAACAAGCTAAAATTTAAGTAAACCGGCAATGGATAACTCCGCCGACAAAAAGTTTTATTCAATTTACACAAATACAGTCAACTTTAAGCCATATATAACTTGTGGTGATGTCCCGTTAGTATCAGTTAGACCAGTATTGACGCTATGACGGCAGGGGCTGTCCTGTCTGTTCAAACTCCTTTTTGAGTTCGTCCCATTGTTCAGCTGTCATCATGATGTCGCCTTCAAATGCATCAACCCCGTTTTCTGTGAGCAATTACAATTTCTTTATTAATCCACTGGTAAAAATTTCCAAAACGCTAAAACAGATCTTAGATTAGTCATGGCACTAATAAGGCCTAACACAGGTTGAATTCAGTTAATTATCCATCTAGCAATTAAAATTTCATTTTTACTAAACTATGAGCCTGACGCAATTTCCAGTCCGGATATCGATTTCGTTGCGCTGTTCTCTTTTTAAACTTGTGAGCTATAGCGAACTCTTAGCAACCATCACGTTTCATAAAGAACTCGTATACTTCTCGTCTACTCAATCAATTCTTTTGGAAAGTAGAGATATTGGAATATTATATCCTTCTCCCGTATTCATTCTACGTTAACCTGTAGCATCGAGAGACGGCTATTTTACAAATCACACATTTATCAAGAAGTTTGAGTATTGGATTAGAACTGTAGACCTGTTACGATAACCTTACTTTGATTCACGTCGATTTCACTTCTGTCATCGTCAACTTGCGGATCCCCTTCTGTGAAAGGATGTCCCTTTTCGTTCAGCCCATCTCATAACCCAATAAGATTTTTACATGAGATAAGTAACAAAAAACTTTTCTATCAGCAGATCACGAGAAAATGTTAAAATTGTTGTAAAGCTCAAAGGTAGAAGTGATCCATTCTCAGTCGCTAAAATTCATGACAAAGAGACTCAGTGATTACTGATAGGAAAATTTCACACACCAAGATTTATCCTCACATCTAGGGTGCATATTGTAAGGACTTACTTCTCGAAGGCCTTCAGCTAGTGCGATGGCTGAACTGATTTAAGTTCTTAGAGACCAGGTAGAATTAACTTGACGCTTAAAAAATTTTGTGGATTTGAAAACAGGCGCAAAGTAAATACTTAATTTTTTCTTTTCGTGAATGATTTTCCTGCGTATATTGAACCGGTTTGCCGGCAAAAATGTATATTTATAGAAAAGAAAATCTTTTTTTTTTTAAATAAAGAACCAAACGTTCGGGGAACATCATTCCTAAATCAACATACACACATGCAAAAAGGCAAATGGATTATGATTCGATTTACCTTCATTTATTCCAATTAGTCCTGATGCATTTTAAATACAATACGGGTAAAAATCCGAAACTTGGTGTATTTTCGAACCCATTTACCTTCCCTAACCAAACAAACATTATTTTACCCGTATTTTACCGCGTGTATTCATTGTGCAATTAGCCTATGAAAATAAGTCATGATTTTACTCTGTACCTTCCTCGGGAAGAGTTTCTTCGGTAGCAGTGACCACTGAAGGAGACAAGATTAGAATTAACAAGATAGAAACAACTTTCATGTTACTTGAAGGGCTTGTTTCTTAAAAAATTCACAAATCTGAAATTTTTCTGTTGGAAAATGGACACGACTGAGCCTTGAATCAATTCAGCTGTATTTGCCCGCTGGCGAATTGTTGAGGAATTAGCCAATCAGATTTAGTGAATTATAAACGATACAAACAATGAAGATTTCAATGAATGTCGAATTGCATGCTAACTTTACAATACAATGTATCATGGCTACATATTTTGCACATAACATAACCAGTTCGGATATACTGATATCCTCTGGTCTCCACAAATATATGAGAGAATCTGTGTCCAGAAAGTCATGTCTCTATTTCAGATATTCAGATATTTGATTACAGCTAACTGAATACCTTTTTGCTTTTAGTCTAAGCTCTTTTCCATGCCATCTGTATTTGTGTTTTTTCAAGAAACAAAGAGCAATCAATGTCTCAAAAGATTCCTCAAAAGAAGCATAAGTGAAGTTAAATATACCCTGCCCATTAAGGAGGCGGCATTTTTTTAAATGAAAATTTACTTAATGTCGTCTTCCACCAATTAACTTTTTGGCTGAATCAGATGACGCGGTTTTGTTGGATTGGTCGGCGAATAGTTTTATTAAACCTCGCACCTTCGATACCCGCATTTGAAGTCGATACCTGCCTCTCAAATTACGCTCAAGATGAAGTGGTTATTTTTGCTCGCGTTCACTCTTCTGACCGTCGGCGTTCTAAGCGCTCCAGCAAACGACGAAGAAGATGGTAAGTTCTCTTTCATTCACAAGTTAATATATAGCATGCAAGAAAATTCCTTTTTGAGATTTTCCCAAGTTTCTGCATTGCAACCCTCACTACTAGCCTTTTTTTTTTTTTGATAACTGTTACCAATAACAGATGCACTCACAAGACTTAAGATGATTTTTGTTACTGTTGTGCTATCAGAACTTTGTAACGAAGGAGAGTTTTATTATCTTATTGATCTGATCCAATAGATTCTGAAATATTCACAGATTTTCAGATTTCCACACCGGATAGTCAATTAAGATTTAATGTGACAAATTTTAAAAAGATGCGAAGAGGTGATCTGCTATTGATGAAGGAAACTTTCCTCCTTGCTTTGCCATTAATTTCGAAAGAATTTGTCTTTCGTCCAGTTTGATATCCAGTTTCGTCGAGGTTGAGAATGAAGGTCCGATCAACACCAAAGAGAGCGACTCGAAAATGTTATTGTTTAAGTAGTTGATGAGGTGTATAAACAGGTGACATCTGGGACAATACTAGGATTTACTATTGTGAGGTATGTGAAAACATACAACCCTAATGGATACTCGAACAGGAAAATGGGTTTAATTCAGAATGATAACCCACCTTTCATCCTAATTAAACTCATTATTCGGTTAAATTGAAATTACAAATTGCTAGATTAAACGTTTCTTTCAAGACCGAAACTTAAATGTAGCTTTTGTTTAAATGAAAATTAATTGCAATCGCAGAGTTATTGACGGAGTTGGAGGTAAAAGATAATGCTGAAGACGAACCTGAGACTGGGACGGGTCAGTGATCATTATTATTTGATAACAGTGATAATTTTAATAGAACTGGTATGATTTGTCACTAAAAGTAATCTTGACCCAGTTGTTCGAAGAAGGAATTGCACATAGATTTAAGTGTTATGGCATCGAAAAGTCTTGTTTAAGGTTAACCAAAGAGGGGTGTTGCTAATGTTTTCAAAAATTCGGCCTTGACTTCAGAGTATTAGAGTGTGATATAACTCGTGCTAAATTGCATTTCGGAGAAAACCTTTAGTTAACGCATGATAATCTCTCTGATGTAGTTATACTCTATGTATGCCCAAAATTAACTTACATTTTTACGTGTGATTTTCCAAAAAGAAGAGGAACGCTTTGTTCGGGAAGTGGAGGACGAAGAGGAAGAAGAAGAACTAGAAGAAACAGCAATGAAAGACACCGTCGAAAACGATGAGACTGATGGTATAAATTCTTTATTTACCAAGAAGAGCGTTATAATAAAATATTTTTCGTCGTGGTTTTAAAACACGGTACCTGATATTTAGTGCTGCCAAGCTTTATTGTATTGATTTGTTCAAAGTTTATCCTTAAATCTAGTATATTTTCTCTTTTTCATGTAACTTCTTTTTTGCGTCTTTTTGATGCTCAGTACTTTCTAACATTTTGAATCAACTATTTATTTGCATTTTGTCTTTTGTTTTCCTAGAAGTCAGCGAAAAGAAGACCTCAGTCGAAACCGAACAACCCTTTGAAGACAGCGAAGCAGATGATACCATTGAATAAAACGGTTCTAAAAAAACTGTTCGAAAGAGGGAATTCTTTACAGATTGTTGTTAACTATGGGAGTATTTATTAAACTTAAGGATACACGGGGAAATCTCTTCTCTGTTATTATATATTAATGTTGTTATTATTATTATTATTATTATTATTATTATTATTGTATGTTGTTATTAATGTTTTTGTAGCATAACACTCATGCGGCAAACATCTACTCTGACACACTTTCCTGGGTTTTTTGTAATCAGATAGGCACAAACAACCCTACGATATCACTATTTTTTTTAAAGAGTGGTAACGCGCATTCGTTATGATCTCTCAGCCCTAGCCCCAAACAAAAAATTTATTGCTATTTTTTCTCATGCAAGGTTTATTTTTCGTCTCCTTATTCCCGGTTTGATATCTTTGGTTTCTCTAGTTCACAAGCGAACCTTTCTGTTGCCGGCAGCAGCTCCTAGTTGGCTTTCCTTATACCTCATTTAAGGTATTCCACTTCGGTAACCAACGTCAAATGCGAATTTCAGAAGCACTCCGTGAATTGTAGTCATCAAAGCGAGACGTTCTTGCCCCTGGAAAGCTTTGCTGGGTATATCCTGATGCCGTGTTACTGTTGCGCATCGTATGAGCTCGCTTATCATCCGAAATGACATCTGCGGCATCATATCCCGATCGCCACGGACAAAGAAAGTTTATGAAGTGTTTTCTGTAAGATGGGTTAATTGCGCAGTAAATAAAGGGGTTGAGGGTGGAATTTCCCATGCACATAACTACCGTTACTTGATGCGCAGCGGTATCCATTTGGGTAATGTCAAACTTGAACAACAAGTAATACACTTGGTTAGGAAACCAACATATTGCCAAAACCACTGCAGTAATTGCACACATGCGCAGTAGACGTACACCAGCTTTACCTCTATTTGTTTGAAACAGAGCTGGCGAATCCCGAACTTTGACCCACAGACTCAGGAACGACAAACATGTGATAACGAGTGGCACGAAAAACTTTCCCAAGAACTCAATTAATGCAACTCCTCTTCTGACGTCTCCCGTCGTCAGCGAAACCCATTCACAGTGATTTTCGGGCCCCAGTTTCATTTCGAAAAGGTGAGGGGCGTTAAACAGAAACGATATGAACCATACAGTTGCCACCATTATATAGATTCTGTAACTTTTAAAACCTGCTCTGTACCGAGCAGGCTTTGCCACTGCAAACCATCTCTCGAGAGATAAACACGTGATTGTATAGACTGAAACAATGCCGAGGGTAAACACGAGGTAGTATGATACGACTATTCGGCAGAACAGCTCACCAGCGAGGCCACTTGGGATTGGAAAGTTGTTGATCCCTATGATGTAAGATGGCGTCAAAATCAGGCCTACTCCTGTGGAAGGAAACACCATAAAAATTTTCTTTCTCATCTTCTGGGTACTGAGAGGAGTTTTATTCGACTCAAACTCTCTAGCACTCTAGAGTGAGCTTTGAGTATATCAGCTTACTAGCCCACCCAGCTACCTCAGATCCCCTAGGGTCTACATGACTTCTTAACACATTTTGATATGAAAAACACAATTTAATACGACGTTTAAGAAAGCACTTCGAATCCAAACTCATAACCATTACGAGATCTGGTCCTCGAATCGATCAATGTGCCTGTACCTGGAGTATCCTAAATACGATAAATGTGTTTGTATTTCTCTTCAACCTCTCCATGTATTTTTTCGAATGTCTTAGTCAGATGTTGCATCATTTATTCAGTAGCCCCTCTATACTCGTGTACACAAGCGTCAAATTAGTTTCGAACAAGTAAAAGAGCGACTCTTTCTAAACTCTCTCAGTTTAAGACCTCATCGCGTAGAATGCCTATTGTTCTCGGGACATTTACTTGCAGTAGCGAAAAAATTATAGATCCGTAATATTAGCGGCGAAAGATATTCTGGGGAGCTTTGATTGGTCAAAGATTACGCGCTCATTCCTCCTCAGGGAATAATGCTTAAGCTCATTAACTTGTCAAGGCGGAGCTACGAAACAATAGCTTAGAAAGTTATTGTTTATGCTATTGTTAGAAGAATATCACACCTTACATGCGTGTGTTACAACCTGGAAGAGCGTTCGATTTTGAAACCTTCGTTACATATCCATCTATTTCTTCATCTTACTCAATAAACACTTTGGTTCTATCACTACCCGTTAAGGATTTGATTTTCATTGGAAAAATTTACCTGCACAATTTTTCTAAAATAGAAAGGACGTTATGAGGTCTGTAGGTCACTCTGACACTTGTTTCCTTGAAACGAAATAAAAGTCACACACGAGGCAGCCAGTAAAAGAGAGCAACTCACGTGCCCTCTGTCTACTCCTCGTGTTTTAGCTTTCAGCTTCGAAAGAGAAAAAGAATCTTCCGAAGTAAATTATTATCTCAATACTGTATTTCAAAATTATAGAACCTGAAGGTCTGCTTTGGCGAAAGATGCAACGTTAAAGCGCGTATTTCACCTTGAAATACAACTCTTAGGGAGCTGTCAAGACTGAATGTATTTGTCTACTCCGAAGAAATTTTCTTTGCTATTGCATTAACCCCTGTGAGCAAGCAAATGAAACTTATCTAAGAGCTTATGTCAATCAAATCCGCAATGAATTCAAAATATGCCTAACTCTTATTTAACCACATACCTGTTGTCATATCAGTTACCGCCAAGCTTAAGATCAGGACATTGTATGAGCTTCGCAAAAGACTTCGGTTGCGAAGGAAAACTGCAATTAACAAGCCGTTGCTTAAAATAGAAAGCACGGCAATAATTCCCATGGACACTCTTAACGCCATGTGTAGTTCGCCTGAAGTTTCATGCTCTTCCATACTGGTGATGTTTTTGTAAATCATTTTGATACAGCCTCGAAAAGCCAAACGGCTGAAATGCAAAAATAAAGATTATGATTAGCTCGTTTAAAGAACTAGTCGAAGCTTGTTTAACTTGCCCGCTTCATTGACGTTAATTGTCGATGATTTTCGTTTTAAAAATAATTGAGATAAGCTAGGTATACATGTGACGTACATGTTACTTTTTTTTTTGACCTTCAAAATGAACTCCTTGGCTGCTCAGCGTGTAAATAACAGCGCACGATAGAGAGAGAAACGAATCGAAGAATGTAACTCTCTTTGAGTGACGAGGTCGAAGGATATTCATATAGGGGTGAGAACATTTTGCGTTTTAAAATGATACAGCTAAGTCATTTGAGGCTAATAAATCCTACATTGACAAATGCAACTACGATCGAAGGCTACATGGACTAAATATCATTATGTTCAGGTTAAAAAAAGATTAAGTAATTCACGAATTATCTATAACTAACAATATAACTGAAAATGGTGGATTTCATAGAATACACATGAATTATTTCTACTCGGTACTTTAAAATTTATGTTTTTGTTGGCGTGAACTTACCATGTAAAACGTCACTACCAGGCTATTTACGTCCGTAAAGCGGTTCTCAAGGGGAAGCCGTGAGAAAATCAAGATTCTGTTTCTGTTTCGACTAGTGAAGCCCAACTGCAGATAGGAATTAATGTATGTTTCCAGGATTCTCTGAGTTGGGTTGTGAACAATAAAAGCTGGTTATTTGAAAAAATTCCTTATATTCCCTTTGAACTGTCGTAATAGAGTAATATCACAGGCGCACACCATATATAGATGAGTGCCGGAACAGCGTTAATTCCGATGCCAACATTCATATGTAAAAATTAGCATCTCACGTGAAATAAAGACGGTGTGTTAATTTTACTTTCCATCCTGTAACTAAAGGGCAAGTTTTTCAGCAAGGGGGCCCATATTTGGATTGTTCTCGGCTGTCATGCACGGAAAGCTACTTTGTACACTTTTGGCAGAATGATAACGTGTGAATATATTTCTACTGTTTACTTCCCATTTCTGATTTGTTCTAAAGGTGGGTTTTCTCGATTTTATTTGGCAAAGGCCGATGGTAACTGATGCAAAATGACTTCGGCGATGTTGTTTCTCATCGGTCTCCAGTCGTTGCTGCATAAACTAATTTCAATATAGGTAGCCACCATTTGGACTTTACGTTTTCGTTTCTAGTAAGTATTCTTTCCTTAGCGCACATTGGTTTCTCCCAACCACAGACTCAAGTGACCCACTTAACCTCAAGCTTTACTGTGAGCAGTACAATTAATTTGCGATATTAAGTAACAATCCACTGAAAAAGGCTTGAAAATTTTCGCCTTGTTCTTCAATCAATGTTTTCTTCTGTGTGAGTAGTTCCTAGAAGATATAAATTTATTGCTGCGCTATAGTTCTAAAGGCATTGACTCTATGACTATGCGAATCTAGCACGGCAACTCCAATATCCCTTCGAACATAAAATATCTTTAATGAGATGTGAAGTGCCTTTAAAAATATCTCTGTTCAATTGCTCGTCGTAGCAACCTCTCTGGTCGTTGTGTTAACTTAATTCAATAAGAAAACTACAGAATTGAGCCCTTTGGCCAGAGAACCAGATTAAATTGAATGAAGCTAACATTGTAAGAACGGAATGTCAACGTTGTTAGGAGAACTATGATTTATGTGCGATTATGCCACATTACATACATAATGATGGAATAATCCGGTTTTTCTATTCTGTGCCAGCAAAGTAACTTAACTTGAGCGACCAAAACCATATTAGTTTGGCTTATCAACTTTTGTGACTCACCAACGCTTAGTAAGTAACATCATGGCTGTGAAAAAAAGGAACAAGGGGAGCGGATATCAAATTATTCAGCAATTTATGAAGGACATGTATCCTCAGCATAATAGCTTAAGTTAAAGTGATATTAATTGGGAGGTTTGAAGGTTTTTTCCTGTCCTTCAGATATTTTCCATGAGAAATGGTAATTATAATCTTATACAAGGCAGCGTAAACATTTGTCTGCTTGCTGCGACAAAAAAAATGCTACGGGAATTAACCAAAAATATTATCTTAAAGGATATTAAAATGATTGATAGACCAGCATTCACTTAGCATTCTTCAGTTTAAGCAGCTTTTCGTTTTCCAATATCGTATTTGCTACATGCCTAATATTACGTCATGCTATATTGTATATGACTTGAAACAGCCAAATTTGTTTTCAGTATCCATACTCCTAAGGATAAACATGAGAGGTACATAATATGGTACAGTAATCTAATTGTGTTTCTCTCTTAGTAATGAGAGCATTTTTGGTGTAAAAGCAATATTATTATGATATATATTCTTACTGACTTCGGGTGGATGGCACTTTCATGCTTTTATTCCAGCTCTAACTGACTTTAAACCCCTAACAAATTCAACCGATCTAAAGTCAGATGATAGTAGAGCAGATGTTTATTGCTTTTTGCCTTTTCCTTTTTTTTTTAGTCACTAAACATCTTGATCGCATGCTGAAAGCGTAACGAATGTGTTACACCTTCACAGAGATCGTTTCAATCAGCAATGAATGAAAAAAAACCGTCACTAGCAATCGTTTTCTTAGCAGCTCTCTGAATTCTATCTCGTATCTGTTGTAGAATTGAAGCAGCCAACCATGGACTTACCATGAGATAAGCACGGCGAGAACTGTGCTGAGAAAGCCAGCAAATCGTTGCTAGAAATCTTCAATGGCACTCATAGATGTGACCATTCGTTTTTTTTTTTTTTTTTGCTGAAGAACTCTTCAGTCCTATAGCAATGTGACAAAAAGACATCCATCCCAGGAAGGAGGCCTCTAAACAATACACAGTGATAATTTATATTAATTGTGCAGCCCAATCGTTGACGTTGACACTCAAGTAAGCATATAGAAGTTCTAATTCATATCGTATGCACATTAGTTTTAGTTGTGCAAAGTCCATGTGAAGTGCTTGATTCGAGCAGTCATATCAATATTTTAAAATTATTACTTTCTTTTATTGTTAGCCAGAACTATCATACACAAAAGCAGGAAAATAAAGCTACAAAATTAATGTCACTTATTGAGCTTGATCGCAAGACTACATCTGCTCTGTCCACTGTATGTTTTATCGCTGATTAGTTTGCTTATGCAATTTTTCATTTACCTGCCAAGACTGTTAACATATCTTTCACAGTCAAGCTGAAGACGAGGTGATTATACGATAAGTGCAGGAATTGACGATGTCGGAGTATATAAACGATAATTGTTGATGTATCACAAAATATTTAAGTCAATCGCTTTAAAAATTTCAGCTAAATTAAGTGAAATAAGTTACAGTAATGCCAACATCTTTAGAACTCCTAGAATGGGCAACCGCAGTCCAAAACTAGTCAGACATACTTGACTGTCAAATTAGCGGGTCTATTCTGTTTAAGACTCCTGAGTAACTTTTATGAATGTACTTTGCCACAGTATTACCGTGAATTTATTATGGCAAACACTTTGGCAAATATTATCTAGACTCTTGCAGCTGCAGCTCACATCCGTAGTTAACATAATGAAACCCCAGCAAAACTCCACCGTCAAAAACCTCCGCTTGATTATTTCTGTCCCCCTCCTGCGACCGCAATCCTTGATCGTGAGTTAAAGTAAAACTACGTTTTCTTTTCCACAGGAAACAATTAAAAAGGGGACACAATATAGACTTAAAGCCTCTTCTATATTGTTGATTGGTATAGCAATAGACTATTGGATTGATTGATGAATTGAACATGGCTAAGACTATTGTAAAGTGGTGAAAAGGTGTCTCAAGCTTTACGAATTCAAACGTTGATAAAGCGAAGTAAAGCTGGTTTGGAAACCAACAGAGAGTTAACAATAACGCTACTATGATGCACATGCGTAGAAGCTTGAATCGAGTACGACTGACGCGTTTGTTGTGTCTTCCTGGAAAACTCCTTGACGACAGAGATATATGTAAATACGTAACCCACGTTACTGTGGTTGGGATGAAAAATGTCACAATTGTGTATGTGATTGCTAAGAACTTTTGGGGATAGTCAGTGCTAACCCAAATGCACCTGAGTTTGTCTTTGTCGAGGGTCATTCCAAATGGGAGAAAAACATGTGATAGCAGACAAATGAACCATATGATACCAAGGTAGATAAGGACTCGTCGTTTCTTAAATGCTAACTTGTATTTTATAGGTTTGACCACAGAGTACCACCTCTCCAAGGCAAGGCTTGTAACTGAGAAAACAGAAATCTTGCCTAGGAGGAAGACAAAATACTGGGAACCAATGATCTTACAGAAGATCACACCCAACTTGCCAGGTGGAGCCTGGTACGAGTCGAGGGCGATGAGGTAATTGGGTGTTACCGCAAGAAATATTCCTATAAATACCAAATAGAAGAAAGTGCTGTTACAGCTACAAATTGAACGTTCTTTCACACTGACCCGTAAACACCGTAAAGGATTACATTTCAAACTAATAGATACATATGGATTCTAAACATTGATACACTAGAATGAACTTAGCGGAGAAATACATTCATACACATGAAAAACAGAGTGATTTTTTTTCACACAAGGCAGGCGCTTTGAATGATTTACCTTTATTTCGGTTTTTATGACAAGCCTTCCTTCCGGGCTCAAAGAAAGAGATGCAGTTGCGTGGTAACTTGACTCAAAGATTTGTAGGTGTTTACAAGTATATATATAATCTGTCTTTTAAGACAATTTGTGTCCTTTTAATATAACCTCAAGGGTAGAGTGTAAATTAAGTAAATTACCTGTCAGCCAGTCAGTAATAGCCAAGCTGAATATAAGCAGATTGTAAGCTGACCTGAGCATCTTACCATTTCTCATTATTACCACACATAGAAGAGCGTTGCTCGCAAACGCCGTCAGTGCAATTATGCCGAAGGCTATCCGCAAAAGGAAAGAATAAGCCAAAGGCGAGGATGTAGAGTTGTTGGTAGAATTATCGGATCTGTTGCTGTAGATCATCTAAAAAATAGTAAGACACTTGTAGGTCAATATCTTCAGAATCATGGTCTCTCTATTGCTGATGTTATATAGTTAAAACACCATAGATTTTTTTATATGAAAAGTGTTCTCTTGAAAAAAAACTCAACTGAAGGATTTATGTTATTTCTAACATCTGAAGTGATCTTTAAACAATGTTTTGAAACTTTAAGATACAACGCTTATAAAGATCCTACTAAACGATAACAATGTATCAGTAAGTCTTGCTTGAGAAACCGAACAGAGAGTTAATCATGATAACCATCTCCTTATCAACTGCAACTCATTCAGAGTAATTAAAATTACTTTCTGTGGATCTCATCCTCATACTGACATGATGATGGTGTGCCGGGTCGTAATCACTTTTTCCATTTTTACAATCCCTCCGTTGTACAAATGGAAGTTTAGTATCTCTCGCGGACTGAAACTTCCCTTGGCTACTTTCTATTTGAGTTAAAACTTAATATGAAGCTTTTTTCAGCGATCGTGAAATACACCTGTTTCTTAATTAGGTTCATCGTTTTTAGAAAAACTACAATAGCTGTTTTCAGGCATATCCTCAATTCAATCGAGGAATTCGTCACGGGTCTTTTGGGATTTTCTCCTGATTATCGAAATTTCCTATTGATGGAACCATTGTCTTGTGCTCATGAAAGAAAGCTACTTAACTTGAAAAAGACATCTTGCAGCAGGTAATTAGATACAAGCTAATCCATTCTCACCTATACGTCTCTTCTTCGGTATTTTACCGTACCAAGAGAGCTGTTGTTTTTGTAAGGTTTTTGTAAGTCAGTTTCCGGTTTTATGGTTGGCTGTTTGGGTTTTTCGCGAAATACCATTTAAGTGTTTAAACCACAGAAATTTACAAAGTTTTCCATTTTTCATGACTCGATGATATCCAAACGCTCATCCAAAACTATTATTTCCATGGAAATCAATTTATGTTACCTAATATATTTTCACTCTTAGAGAGTGTTTGCCTTTCGCTTGTTTACAAGAGTTGAGGCCACGGATTACAAGTCAAATAGATAAGCGATTTTTTACATGATATCTCACTATTTTCATGGATATCTTGATCGTTCTAATAATGTGAATGATTGCTTCTGAGGAGGAGAGAGATAAGTATCAAAAAGAGGCACAGACATACCCCTGATCAAATGATAATGCATTTGACTAGCTTACCGTAAGAAATGTTTAGCTGCAAGTTATCGCTGTTAACACCATTGATTTCTTTCAAGTGAATTGGCCACTTGTTATGTGCATCTACGATTTACAAGCAGCGATTTTCATCTTCTCAAGTGCTTTACATTACTAATTTGTTTAGGATCCCCCCTTTCAAGATCCCCGAGCATCGGATATGCAGAACAAACTCTTTTACCGGACAATTCGCGTTTTCCTAAGTAATATATTGTGCTCTGTTTACACAATCTTTTTAAAAGGAGGAAGCTGGCGCTCATTCTTCACCTTGTTATGCTAATTGTGCGGCAAGAATCGTAATAAAGCATTCGGTAGAAGCGAAACTGGAAACGTTTTTTTCAGTTTTGATCCGGTTACTCTGGCCGAAACCTAATCGAGGATCATTCTGAGATTTTGTTGACAAAATGGAACTTAGAAGGTGATCAAGTTGGTGTGTTTCAAAAACAGTTGCCCGCCTGCTATCCTGATTGACCTACAGTTAAGCCAGTATTTATTTTTGTCTTGATTGTTTCTTATTTTTTTTCACTCTTACCTGCCTAAGGTTTTTCTTCTATATGATTCTTTGAACAAAATAATAGTTTAAAATTTGGAATCCCGTCAGAGGCGTATGTTCCAAAACAGAGAGACTCTAGCCAACTGAACGAACGAAAGCTTTGTTTAGCGATGTGTTTTATTTTGACATGGACCATTATCAATTTATTTTACTTTGGTTATTCAATTCGCAACATCTTAAGCCATGAAGGACAATGATAAATTATACTGTTGACAAAGTAAGGAGCCTGTTATTACAATACAATCAGTTACACCCACGATAGCTTGTCGCCTCAAAATTGCTGAATCATTTGGTTTTTTTTAATCACTAAAACCCTTTTCAAAATTATCCACTTAGTTGAAATGCTAATTATCACTGTATAATCTGAGCATAGGTTGCCCTACAGATGATAAGCCTTGGAAGAGTGGCATCATGCATGCCAAAAACAGCTGGTCTGATTCAGGAGAACTTATGGCTTCTTTTCTTAATCAAATTCCCTAGCTTTTTTACAATAAATTGTCATCTGCCGACGGTTCGCGCATACCCAGTAACTCAATGAGTGAATTTGACATCACTCTGTATTCAGGTTGTAAGACAATTTTAAAACTCTTCCCATTTTGATACATTTTTTTTTAAATAGAGAATGATGTTGATGAATGATACTTCTGGTCTACATAAATCAATACGAAATATATAAACAAATACATAGAATAGAAGGCTTTCATTCTTAGATCAGATAGTTTCTTCTTGGTGAGATGTTACGAGGATTCCCTATGATAGAGTGAAAAATACTTAGAGTTTAACCTTGGACTACTTTGTTTTGATTCGTCTAAGATGACCATACGAAAGTCGACAATCGCGGTATTTGGTCAAAAAATTGAAAACCTTCATATTTTGCTTGGACACTCAGGAGCTTGCAAACGTGATCTAGGAGGTTTCCTCCTTTTTTTTCGCCCAAATCTACTACTTTGTTCTAGAAAATTCACGAAAACTGAAACGAGTGTTAATAACCCTGCGTGGCGGAGATCAGTCCCCAGACCAGAGGCACTGAGATTAACTTTGCATGAAAAGCGCGAAAAAAAGGCAAGCTCATGCAGCAATTAGATAATTAAGTTATGGTTTAGGTTTAAACCAGCACCGTTTCATCTCATTTTGAGCACACAGCAAAGTTTTACAAATCAGTAATATTTCCGTAAAATCCAAATATCGCATATTTTTAGCAAATTTCAGTATAACTTAGAATCGGTCCAGGTAAGGCTCGTGATAAATGGAAATAGTGTGGCATTTTTTTGGTGGGGAGGGGGGTGGGGGGAGGATGTAAAGACTTAAACAAACTTGTTCATATGATGATATATATTGTTTTACCACCGAAAAGAACTGACATTACAAATACTGATTGCAGTAAATTATATCTGAAAATTATTCACAAGCTTTTTTTTTAAGAGTTTTTTTTCTTTCGTCGCTGCAGGTGAGTATTGTCACTATTGTCATTTTAGAGGTTTTGTGTTTCTTTGTCTAGCCGGTCTAACTTGTAACTGAAACCGTTGAAATTAATTTCAAGGTCAGATGCAACATTAGCATTATACCCGTGGTTCGAATCATATCACACGTAGTATTACATACTGTTATCTTGGTGACATAAAGCTAAGAATGTCATTATTGCTCGTCTGTATTTTCTGTTGGACACAACGTAAATCCAAGGGTTCACAAAAGAATTTGCCAGAGCAAGCGCTACTGTAAACTCACGAAATGGAGTGCCGAAGTTTAGAATAGGAAATCCGTACTGGTTTATCAAATAGCAAACTTCTGTTGGAAACCAACATACTGTCAACATTAGAGACATAATTGCACACATCCTAAGCAACCGACGTTTGTTTATTTTTCCTCGATTCTCTTTGAGAGCGTTAGACTTCTTTATTTCAACAAATATATGAAGAAAGGCAGCCCATGTGATGAAAGTTGGAAGGAAGAACGTGAGAGACACGTAAATTATTACCACAGCAGTCTCCTGACTCTTGGCGAGAGGTAAAGGAATGAAAAAACATGAATGTTGGAAGTATTTTACGTAGAACAGCTTATAACTCTGAAGGCAAGCGCAGCTGAACCAGATACAACCAATGTATTTGATGAGTTTCCGGTGAGAAAAGATCTTTTGATAGTGTAATGGTTTTAATAAAACGAACCATCTCTCGACAGCCAGACACGTGATAGTCAGCACCGATCCTTTTCCAAAGGTGAAAATGAAGAATTTAGAAAATATCATTCGACAAAATATCTCACCAGCTATGCCGCCTGGTACTGAATACAAAGACATGCCTATGACGTAGTTGGGTGTGACTATTATAAATAGACCTGAAACATTAACAAGAAATAATTCTAGTAAATGTTCCGCCTTCCTCATACAGAGAGTAAGAACTATAAGGAGGAAATAGAGGAATAAAAACTTGATTAATGAAAGAGTTTCCCTTCAGAGTCCAAAATCATCGTACTGTGATTGCGTTGTAACTAATTCTTCCTAAAAATAAATTATGGAAATTTCAAGAAATAGAATTCTTAATAAGTTTACAGTTTCTTACACATTTACCATTACCACTACAACAATATTGAGTCTGGAATGGTCATTATTCATAGAATTACTGACTCTAACAACACAACACATGCTAGTTTTCTTACCCGTGAGCATGTCAGCGATTGCTAGGCTGGTTATCAATATATCATAACCGGTTTTTAGCGTCTTCTTTTTCCGATTCATTGCGACAAAAAACACCAAGTTACTGGTGAAGGCGAGAATCCCAATTATTCCATAAGAAACCTTCGCAATCATTCTATTATCGAAAATTTCGCCATTTTCGTTGAAAATGGAGTCAATCTCAGTTTCGTTAGTAACTCCAGAACTCAAAGTCTTGTTGAACATTCTTAGTTTTCGTTTACGCAATAAACGAATTCTTTGAATTTTCTTTTGCTATTTGATGATTTAAGAAAATAATAATATTGAAGGTCAAGCGTGGCTACGTAAATCCGGTAATTTTATGGTAGCGCGTCGTGAATTTACATTTTTTGAAGCACAACATGACATAGATTAAAGTACGACGGTTGGTTCAGACGCTTCTTATGCAGAAGATAAGTGAAAACCACACACCAATACGAGAATATTATTATTCACTATAAGATTTAAGAGGCTGGTGACACACTTAATGCAGGCTTTAATTATATCAATGTATCTGGCATTGTACATATCGGAGATTACATCGACAGGGAGCTAAAACATTACTTACAAAGAGGAAATTTCCTCATGTACTTTTCTCAAGGAATTATTTTGTTATTCTCCGCGAACATTCTGCGATGATGTCATTCTTTTGTCTAATATAGCATTTATTTGACAACAAGTTATTTTCTAAGAAATATATTTACCTTCAGAAAAAGTTATTTGTGATGAAAAGGTTCTTTTTTTGTGTGGACACGTCAACTTTTATATCGTAACAATATCTCCATTGAGAGATGTTGACCTCATAGAGAAGTCACGTTTTTGCTGGGGGGAAGAGACACATATTTGAATATCACCTGCGTTTAATTTAGTCATCGAGATCTTTTAACTCGTGGGAGTAGCAGATGTCGAGCAAAGGAAATGGGTGATTTTGATCTAAAAGCCAGAAGAAACAGAGATTACGAAATTTCGAAGTGGACTAGATGTCGATAACAGAAAATAAACAACACTTACATGATCTAAATCCAAGAAAATTATTTACATGTAACTCAAAAATGCGCGCCAACGTAGTTAGAGAGTTTTAAACAGACTTTCAATTTAGTTCTCTCTTGACAATAGATTCTGCGATATGCATGTACTCAACTTCCTTCACAACTGACTCATGTATACGATTAACTATCTGACGAAGGTTATAATCGAAAATAGCTGTCATAGATGTTCCGGTAATCAACCGTTTTACAGTGCATATTAAAGAATTTCCAAAGTTAAGGCCTTTTAAAAATCTTCACAGTAGCTTTCCTCACGTTCCACTTTTTTTTGTTTCTTTGCCCTAAAACGTCGTGATTGGTGCATGTTAAAATAGTTTGGGTTATTTGCCATACGTCAAAGACCAACAATAAAATCATGATATAGGTGGATTGTTTTTTTGTTGCTGTTTGTTTTTAATGGGAATTTCCCTGCACTTACATCGTCAGAGTTCCACAATGCTCTTGCATAGTTATAGATACCAGTATTGAAATGGTCCAATAATCGAACAACTATGATCTAATGTTTAAGGTTCGCAAAGGCTTTTCTCTATTATTCTCTTGTCGAAATATTTACTTGCAACTACCTTCCAGAGTTATTGAGCAGAAGCTCTCCGAATGACTGCTGTATGTATGAAAGCGTTTATATGGTGTTGTTGACCTGCAGGATGACCGAACCATGCGGTGTAAATTCTGACGAATTAGCATCGGAACAGGCCATGTTGCTGAAAGACGTCATGGCTGACAAACTGGACTCTTGCTGCATCTTACGAAGCCTGATAACACAAGGGCCGGCAGGTAAATTACCGTTTGAACTTGATTGCTCAAGATCAACTGAAAGAGAGTATCGTGATCTGTTTTTTCGAACCCAACCAAAGTACATACCGAGGTTGGTGATTTCCATGGTTACTTTAAAACAACATAGAAGTCGGATGAACTCTTTTCTGTATTCTCTGTTACTGAGGCAATAAATCCATGGATTTAAGCAGGAGTTAGACATGGCTAAAATATTGGTAAATAAGTAGAATTCAAAGGGAAGTTTCAAAATTTCAAACTTGTATAGAATGAAAAATGTTTCTGCCGGAAGCCAACATAATGTTAAAAAGAAGGCTGCTAGTGCACACATGCGCAGTAACCGCTTGGTGGCCTTGTTGTGAGAATTCAAATGGCGGCGAATGTTGGGTTGGCGCATGTGCGACCAAATGTCTCCAAAGGTTATCCAAGTGACTATGCTCGGTATGTAGAACGTGATGATCACGTGAAGAAGAATTAGGATCCGTTCCGTCCTTTCTCCGTAGAATGGAGTAACGAATGTGCAAACGCCATCTTCCGTTGTGGTGATAAAGAGTTCATTGATCTGAGTTATAGCGGCAGAGGCCCAGATTAAAGTTATGTACAGGTACAAACGTCGCTTGCTGAATGCTGTTTTGTAGCGTATGGGCTTCACTATGGAGTACCAACGATCTATAGCCAGGCACATAATCGTGGAAGTTGAAGCTTTACCAAAGATAAACAGAATGTAGGTTGAACCAATCAAACGGCAGTAAATCTCTCCTCCGAGTCCAGTCGGGTAGGGAAAGTTTTTCCTGTCGATCAGGTAGTCTGGTGTAACAACAAGGAAGATCCCTGTTTGAAAAATCAAAATATCACTGTCTCCATTGTTATATTAATTTTATATCTGCGCCACAAACTTAAAGAATTACTTTTTGAGGATCAAGGTGATTGTGGTTTTAGTCTGTCCTACTCTTTGTCCTTTTTTTATTTAACCAATGGAAGATTTGGTGATCTGTAGCTCTAGCGAAAAATTTTATTTGAGTTTTCGATGTTTACAAAGGATAGGCGCAGGTCCAACTGAGAAGTGCGGCATGTGTTTCGTCCAAACAAAGAAGAGCAGATGTAACTTCTCACACTTTAAATTTGATGGAGTTTGTAGCCTGCTTAATAACATTTTGGATTTTGATTAAATGAAGTATCTACTTAGACGCTACTTGCTGATCCATGTTACCTATCACCCTTCATTAAACGATGAAGCGGAAGTACAATCTCCAACTTTAAAAAGCCAAAGCATAATCTAAATCGGTGACTTTCCACACTGGGTGCAGTGCAAGTTGTTCAGCTGGAAAGATGTTTAGCTGAACAAATATCTGGTCTACAAGGCTGACATAAATGTCAAAGACCCAGATACATCGAAAACAAAACAGAAAAAGATGTTTGAATGGCGATTTTTTAATGGAATATTGGAATATTTCTCCTCTCGAAAGGAAAACAAAGGTAACAAGAATTCTATTGGGAATAGATCGGTTATTATTTTTGTAACGAAAGTCGAACAATTGGCACATCATGTCACATTTACTATTGTTGTGTGACGCTGTGAAACAGATGCTCGCACTACTGATCTATTAAAACATACCTGTGAGCATATCTGTAAGGGCCAGGTTGCAAATAAGAATATTGTACGGCTTTTTCAACATTGAGCGCTTCATAAAAATGACCAGACAAAGAAGCAAGTTGCCAAAAAACGAAAGGCTAGCGATTAATCCAAACGATGTTTTCATTATTACACTGTGGTCTCTAGCTCCAACGGAAACGTTGCTATGGACAGTTTGGTTACTTGCACCATCAAGCGTAGCAGATACGTTGTTCATTATTCTCAATTCCGTCAAGCAGAAAAAAATTCAATTTATCTCAAGGAAGGTTCGTAATAAACGTCGTTTTAGAGTCGGTAGACAAATATGTCTTCAATACCTCTTGTTTATAAAGCTGCCAACTGCTTTGTATGCCTTACGTTGATTTGCTGAAAGAAATTCCCTTTGCATATGTCAAAATGAAATCTGTACAGAGGGTTGATATGCAACGGAAGTCGGTCTAAACCATTTCGCTTACGGCCATGATCATATATTAATAGCACTATTCACATTAAGATCACTGCGGTGAGATAAAACTTTTTTGTATATGTCTAACAATGGAAATGCGGCAGTGATAGGGACCGCATGGGATAAAGTAATTTGTTATCGCTTTCACCCATGTTATCCTTTTATTTAATGAATCTGAGGAGAAGTTTTCTCAACTTTTTGTGCTTTAACTCTTCTAATTAAAGGAAAGATAAGGTTTTTTTTCACCAACTGATAAAACGTCGTAATTCTCGAGTGACTCTGTCGCAAAACTTCATTGCAAAATGTTTTCTACTGCATCAAGCACTAACGAGACAGTTCGTGAGTAATCGATCAGATATTCAAAAATCATCCAGTGTCAAAAGAATTGTGCGAAAGAAGCACAAATCAATTTCCGTTGATTGCTCAGTTTTTTGGACCGTGATTTACGGTACAAACTTCCTAAGAGTGATGAGTGATCATTTGAGCTACTTCATGTTCACCTGTTATTGTTTGTATGTCTAAAGATCTCAATATGGCAGATATATTTTTAACTCACTGATTTTTTGATCATGGAGTCATCCTTATTTGGCACTGAACTTCATACGGTGAAGTTGATATCGTTCCAAATAAACCTGTCACCCCTATTGTAAAAAGCTCTTTCGTTGTGACAGCTTCTTGACGTTTCTGTACGCTTATATTATGCACTGAAGTCAACGAAATACAATTTTTTTCTTATTAAAAGTTGAATCTTCCAGTCCTACTATTTTTGTAATAGGGAGAAGTTGAAGTTTACGAATCTATTCTGCCGATAAGCGTAGCAGTTAGCTCTCATCATACTTCACAAACACGACAGGAAATTTTGATCCTGGCTTAAGATGATAAAAATGAAATATTTACTTCATCTAACTTAAGAGATAAAAAACGAGTTGAGCTGAGTTATGAGGCGTAGTACATAGTAGGTTTATTGTCCTTAGTTACAAGAATCAAAGCCACTACTCCTGACGATCTTAGTGTCTGATTCTCCATAAAATGATGGGTAATGAATCCTCAACCCACGCTCTCATTTTGTAGCGATGACGATTTCGTTCTAAGTGGTGGAGAATTAATATGAAATCTATTTTTCTAGGATGGTACTTTTCAAATAATAAAAAATCCAAATTTCAGATAATATTTGAATAGTGGGTTTTGTTTAATAAAAAGTGACCTAGGATATTAACCGAGAAATGGAAGGCGAACAAATTGCAATTTGTATGGTGGTGGTTTTTACACAGTATAACGTTAATCATCAGTTTTACTATGTGTTTTTTTAATACCTCGATTAATTCGAATGTGAATTAATGTATCATGTTTATAGTAAATGTAACAAACCTGTGAACACATCTGTGACTGCAAGATTCAAAACAAGAATATTGTAAGTCCTTCGTAACAACTGGCGACGCCGGTAGATGGCCACACATAGAAACACATTTCCCAGAAAAGAGAAAAATGCGATATTTCCGAAGAGAACTCGAAATATTTCAACTTTGCCTTGGAATTGGTTCGCTGGGGGCAGGAAACTTTCGTTACCCCTCGAGAAATTTGTTTTTGAGGTTAAGTTACCCCGAGTCATTGTCGTGGTGGCTGCATATAGAGCAAGGAAAAGACAATAGAAATTGCTGAATTGCGCGTATTGATTTTCTCCAATGAAATAAGGTCGACATCACTACTACAAATTTTGAATAATTTAGATTGACAGAAACTTATCGGCTGCTTGCAGCCGTTTGCTTGACCGTATAAAACCAACCACCATTTCTTGGGATTTGGTCTCAAATGTAAACAAATTACAACAAGCTATAAATCTTTATAACATGCAAGAAAACACGTTTGTTCTCGTTGTTTGCATGGAGAAGAAATCACCTTGCTAACATCGACTATGAAATAAAACGGTTGCTTATGATGTAATAATTGTATGATAATTTTCCCGGTTGTATGTAAAGAATAATAATTGTATCTTCCGAGCACATAAGGTGGTGTCAGCAAAACACTAAAGACTTCGTTGAATCTGAATTATTTATCACACGATGTTAGACATCAAGGAAGTCGCCTTCGATGCGTTAAACGAGTAGGTCCGACTGTTCCAGTCAGTCAGTCAGTCAGCTTGTCAGTCAACAAGCTATGCAGTCAGCCTGACGCCACTGTGCCAGTTGACAAGTCAGTCAGTCAGGAAATCGATCAAGACATAAGCCAATGATTCATTCAATAAGTCGGTGGGAGTTTGCTTTCCACATAGATTAAGACGGAAGGAAAGGGGCTATGTAACAGAAAATTATTATTATTTTTTTTAATTTCACACTTGTGTAAATATACCGACAGATTTGTCAAGTTGTCTTTTTTTTTAACTCAGCAATGGAGTTTAAATTTGAAAATATCGTAGCCGAAAATTTCATTTTTTTTTTCTAACTTGTGCGACATTCAACACTTTCATGAAAGTTTCATTAAATTGACAACAAAGGTGAAAGTAAATATGTAAAGAGGAGCCGGGTGCATTACATGAGCGTAAACAGGGGAGAAAAATAATCTATGGCCTTTCATTTTGACATTTGACAGTGCGAGATCACCATATACAGCTGAGCTTTGCTCACTCTGATTCTTTGAACTCGAACTGAAAGCTATTTTCCATAGAACGTAATTTCTAGATATTTATCATGAGCTACCCCTGATATCCCGAGCTGTTCGTTCGATCATTTCCCTTTGACTTTTCAAAGTTCTTTGACACGTTTCCGTTGATGTTTGAATTGCGACAAACAGTCGTCACTACAAACGACAACTCGTCACTGTATTCATGATAGCAGTGTTAAAAATACGTAATATTTCGTCGATGAAAGAAGCCTTTGAGGTCTGTAGATTATTGAGAAGATGACAAAAACAGTTTATAAGGGAAAAAGTGCCATGATCTGAATTCATAATTCTTAACTTTTTATATTTCTTTTCATAAAGTATAAACATTGAGGCTCTCAGTTTAAGTGTTCCTGTGTGATCCTTCACGATGACATTACCTTTCAATACTTTTTCGTCTCGAATTCAAGCAAGGTAATGGACAGAGAGCCATAAATATTTAACTGTCGTTTAGTGTTTAGAATGATTCCAATTAGAAATTGGTTTATTGCAATTGGCCACAAATACAAGATGACTTTCTTTCTATGCAAATTTCTGGTCTCTTTTTTTTTTTTTTCTTAGGACCTTTGCGAATGGAACTCTCTACCTTCAGAGGTTGTTAATTCTATGCCATCACCAATTTTTTTGGACCAATTTAGCGAATTAGTACGACTTATTATGTAGAGATGGCGATATAAGACTCGCTGTTATTTTTCTTCCACCTTTACCGTCCTTAATCAAATGTTGATGTAAGTCTTCCAAATTGATTTTAAATGTACCATATAAATATAAGGCAGTTTTTCTTGCAGAGACAGCGTTTCAGTGTTATGTATTATAAGTAATGCTCTGTATTTCTTTTCAAATGGTTTTGTTAGTGCTCTTGGTCTTTCTCTAATCAAAGGAATGGTCTGCACTTCGCTTATTTTCTTGATGCAAAAAAGAGTTAAACGAAAACACTCACACATAAGCAGTCAAAAATTTTTAACGAGTAGGCCTTCAAATTCCGTGATTTGCCTGATGTTCACACTACTTTGAATGAGTATGCGCACTTACTGCATCAGACATATATCCTACATTGGAAACATACCTTTCATCTCTACAAAAAAATACGAAAAATACACTAAACGCCCTTAAAAAATCATAACGACTTCAAGCAGACTGTACTGAGAGGCTCGATTTGTCTAACCTGTTAACATATCTGTAACGGCAAGGTTTAACACCAGCATATTGTAAGTCTTTCGAAGCAATGTTCGGCGTTTGCAAATTGCCACACAAAGGAGAATGTTGCCGAGGAAAGCCCCAAATGCAATGCTACCAAAAATAATCTTGTAAACATTATTGACATTGTAGTCAACCTTGTCGTGATGTTGACGTGACGCAAGAATAAAACTTTCGTTAAAGGATGAGTTTGTGCCCAAATTCGTTGTTGTGTTCATCCTCTGAACGATGTGTTAATCAATTTATACCTCTGTATGCCTTGTTTCACAATGACTTCAGCGGACCATAGCGCGGTAACCGTTTTATTTGTTTCTGAAACACCTGTCCAAACGGTTCTCTACGCTAGTTATCAGTCGATCTTTCTAGCTTTTTATTCCTGGTTGATTTCTTTCCTTTTAATTGATTTCAATAAATTTCTCCCTTTTTTAACAAAGTTAAATATATTTTACCTACGTTCTTTCATCAATTTTCTCGGAACCATATTTGTGCTCTTTAAATTTGACCCAGGTGTGTGCACAGTAAAAATACAATTACTTTTAGAATCGGAGCTTTTCCTTCCCATTAGAGTATAAAGTTTCTTATCATTTTTTTCAATTCTTTTAAAATGATGAAACATTAGGACAGTGGGTTTTACCGGAATAACCTCTTATAGCTGGTAATCTTGCAGGAAGTTCAGTCAAATTGACAGTTTGACTCCACTCCAATGCTCAATTTGAACTTAAGTGGTTCATGTAGTTCCTTGAAAATCAGTTCTGTCTGCTAAAATAATATGTTTAAGCTAAGACAATACAATACAATATTTCTTTACCATCGAAAAGACAGATGTGAAACGTTAACCAGACTGATTAAAACTGTGCTGTTTAATATAGTTGGATTTCTCCTCTTTTCTCTGT